CATTAAATTAGTTTTAAGCTTGTTAATTTTTGCATTAGAAGCTTTTTCGTAGTTATTAAATAGGCTTAGTATTGTTGTTCAATCAGTGTAAGAGCTAATGCCTATTGTTAGATCATCTGCATATGCAGCACACTTAAAAGATTGGTTGTTAACTTTGATTTCTGTTATGTTTTTGTCTATCATGTTTAGCAATGGTTCAAATGCTAACATATATAGAAAAGGTGAGAGTGGGTCATCTTGTCTGACCCCTCTTTCTACTCTAAAAGAGTTTGAGATATATCCTAAATCTAAAATGTGAGCTTTTTGTCAAGAAAATAGATTCTTTATTAGGTCTTTAAATTCTTTATTAAAGCCTATATTTTCTAGTACTAGTTGAAGAAACTCATGACTTATTCTGTTGAAAGCTTTTTGCTGATTTACAAATAGCATCCAATGCTCTTTTGTATCATCTTTTTGGTTTCTTAAAATTGTAAGAATGTCCAATGCAAAGTCTGTAATTAATCTGTTTGTGATGAAGCCCTGCTGATATTGAGATACAATTGCTTTACAAATCATATTTAGTCTGTTGGCAATAATTTTTATAAAAATTTTAGCATCACAGTTGACCAGTAAGATAGGTCTCTAGTTGTTTATGTTGTGTAGTTCTTTTGACTTCTTTGATATTAGTATAACTAGATTTTTGTACTATGAGCAGGACATTATTCCTAAGGTTAATACTTGGTTAAAGATTTGTTCTAAGATAGGTATAATGTGTTCTTTTGTAAGTTTATAGAATTCATATGTAAGGCTGTCCAGTTCTGGAGACTTGTTATTTGGTAGTTTTTGGATAGTTATTAGAATTTCTTCTTTGGAGATAGAGTCTGTTAGTTTTTTGTTCATTTGTATAGAGATCTGTGGAAGATTTTTGGTGATTTGTTCTGCTATTTTATTGTCAATTTATTCTTTGCTATATATTATAGAGTATTGTTCTTTGATATAATTAAGTACTTTTTCATTAGATTGTTTCTAAGCTAAGGAAATTTGTATTTTTGTAAGAGCTGAATATAAGCTTCAACTTTTAAAACATGAATAAAAGTATTTAGTTGATTTTTCTCCTAGTTCTATTCAGTTTGTTTTTGATCAATGTTGCCATCTTTGTGCCAGTTCAGTTAATTCTGATTGGATCTGTAAATTAAAGTTTTCTAGTGTGACAAAGAGGTGCATCTGGCTGAAAGATTTGGCTATAATTTCTTTTAATTAGTTAATTTTCTTGTTGAGTATTTTTATTTTGTTTTCTGGGGCTTTTGGTTTTTTGAAGGCCTTTATGATCGATTTGATGTAGATTTTATACATGTCTTAGCTTGTTGCAGAAGTAGCATTTTTGATTTCATCCAAGATTTCTTTTTTTAGAATGCCATTTTTAAAAGAATTTGGATTAAATTTTCAGAGTGTTGAGTATCTAGGTTTTTGTTTTAGGCTTAGAATGCATTCAACTAAAAGGTAATCAGAGTTTCTAAATCTTGTTTTAGTTTCTAATTTGAGATGGCTGTAGTTTTCATCTATAAAGATGTAGTCTAGGTGAGTGACTATTATTTGGTTATTATGTATATTTTGATGAAATGTATAAAAGAGATTTTGTTTAGAAAATAAAGCTAAGTCAATAAATTCTTTTGTGATTTCATTAAATAGTGTCCTTGAGAGATCATTTTGAGAGGTTGTCTAACTCATTCTATTGATATCTGGGTTCAAGTTTGTGTTTAGATCTCCTATGATAATGTTGATTATGTTTTCTTTTTTATCTATATTCCAATTGTTGAAGAATTCAGTTTTGTTTAGAATGTTTGGTGGTATATAAACATTTATCACATGAAAGGAGAATTTCTTAAATGTGAAACATATTGAGATTATTCTGTCTTCTTGTAATATCTTGGTATTGTTAAATTTTATAGTTTTGTTTCCTGCTAATATTGCTGTTCTGTTTATTCAAATTGAGTCAAAAGGTTATTGATCTTTTAAAAATCATTAGATGGCAGCATTAAAAGTATTTGTTTCTTGTAAGAAAAAGATGTCTAGTCTATAAGATTTTAAAGTGTTAATGTTTTAGTTCATTTGTCTAAGTTGTTTAAGCCTTTAATATTTAACATAGTGATTTTGATTGAGTAATAGCTTATTAAAAATAAATTATTTAGTTTTAGAGCTTCTATGAGCTCTTTGTTTTAGATCATCCTAGTAATTTTCTTTGTTGATTATTTTGTAAGACTTTGAATCCTTATATTTTTTTTGTTTGCACACAACTAATGTAAAAGTAGGATCATCTACTTTTTCTTGCTCATTTGATTGCATATTTTCCAAATTTGTATTGTTAATTGCTGATTTTTGTGTTATGTTAAAGTTATTTTCAATAGGAATTTCTGTGCAAACAGTATCTGTTTTGCCATCTATATCATAATCTGATGTAATTTCTTCTATTACTTATTCTTATAAGCAGACTTTATTTGTGTTCATGTTTTGGGTTTCTTCTTAAGTTAAAAGGTTTTCTATTCTTCCACATATAGGTTATTCTCTGTTGATTTTTTAATGAGTACTCTGTTTTGTACACTTTTTCTTTTGAATTCTTGATAGTGTAGTCTTAGATTTTTTGATTCTTGAAATTGTGCAGTCTTTTTTAATATGTCCTGTTTGGCCACAGAAATAACAGACTTTTGGTGTCTTCTTCTATTCAGTAGTTACTCTATTATCCTCTATATATGTAAAACAAAGGATTCTTTGTTCTAATTTTAAGTCTTCAGTATTATCAAAGATAACAATCCATTGCTCTATCATGTAAAGAGTGTCTTTAATAAGTAGAGGTTTAATTAAGACAATTTTCCTAAAATTTTTAAATACTTCTTTCACCAAGCTGAAGATGCATTCTTTGGTTTCTAATGGTATATTTATTACTTTAATTGGTAAGAAGGATTTATGTATATCTGTTGAAATATAGCTATAATATGTTTTATTAAAAATTTTAATATCATTAGTAGCATAATATAATAATTGATCTTGGTTTAGAATGATAATTTCTAAATGAGATCTTAAGTCTTTTTTAAAATGTTGTTTGGCTGCAATGATATCTCCTTCCAGACCTTCATATAAAGAAGCTATAACTTTATTAAAAGAGTTATGAAGATCTGAAATTTCAAAGATTAGGTGTTGTTGTTTTTTGATTTAATTTGGTTTCTAGGAGAAAAAGACACAAAGGTGATTTTTCTCTTTTTAATTTTGTTGACATGTTTGTGGTCTGTTTGGTAGCTGACATATAGCTTAAAGTGGATCTGTGTCTGTGCTATTCCTCTGTAGTATGATTTGTTTCTCCTTTAATAGTTGACATATAACTAATTTTATTGTTGTTTACATTTTTATCACTTGTTTTGTTCTTGTGATTTAACATGTTTTCTAAAACTTGGAAGTTATTGTTTCTTTAAATAATATTTTCCAATCAGTCTTCCTTGTTTTGGATTATTACTACTGGTACTAGTTTTTTACTTGTTACTTTTGTTTCTTCTTATATTGCAAGAACACACTCAGAAAAAACATTGTCAAACTTTTTTGTTCAGGGGTTATTATCTTTTTTTTTCAATATCAAGTTTTTGTATTTTAAAAATTTTTTCTGTCAATAAAGGTTTAATTCTTAGAAAGAGTTTTCTTTTTTTAGATACAAAGACTCTGACCCTTGAGGTAGACTTTTTTGTTGGGTTTTGTTTTGTGTTTAATAACTTTATGATTGTTGTTTTTTATTTTTCTTTTCTGATCAGAGGTGAACAGGAAAGAGTTTATAAAACTTTTTTATTTTTTTTTCCCTTAGATTAAATTTTAACATACTCTAAAAAAAAAATAATTACAATACATAACACTTAAAGACTAAAATTATATAACTTGTTCTATTTCAAAAAATTTTATATTAAAATTTAATGTCTTTGCAATTTTCTATATTCTAATTGGTCAAAATTTGAATTTTTTACAATTTAATTGTTTAAAATTTTTATGAATTATAAACTTTTTAGAAATTAACCAATAGTAAAAGGTTAAAACATGTAACTTGTTCTATTTTTATTAAATTTTTGACATATTATATAAATGTTAAACATATAAATCAAAAATACATAATAGTTATTTTCAAAATAAAACTACTACGTTGTATGTAGTAAATTAAATTAACTACAATTTAGCGGCTTTCTTTTCTTTGTATCGTTTTTATATTATAAGTTATTAGTTTTTGAAATTATTTTAGTCTTTAAGTATCATGCACTATACTAATAAAATGGTTATTTGAATTACAAGATTGGTTTTTAAAGTAGAATAAGCTTATTAGCGGTGTTGGCAATAAAAGATCTAGGTTTAAGGTACTCTTAAATTGATTGGTTTTTAAGTTTGGGTTTATAGATTGTAAATATAAAGTTGGATTCTTAAATAGTTTGATTTAGTGATTCTGGTTGTTTTAATAGTTGAGCATCACTTAAAAGCAAGCTTTTCTTTGTAAAAACTTCAATTGAATTTCAATAAAGTTAAAGGCATGGCCTCACCGTTAATATTTAAAAAAAAATAGTTGAGCATCACTTTACTTCTCTTTACATATATCTACCTATCTTTTATATGTATATAATTAGCGTTTTTTTTACCAATTCGAATGAACTTTTTAAAGTTTTCGTTTTTAGTAATGAATAAAAATTTGATTGGTTAATGATCACGTGTAGATCTGTTAAAACTAGCCAATCAGACAAATTTCAGTCTGTGAATCCGAGGTAGATCGACACTTTGTCATGGCACTGAATTACGGCATGTATATTAATAACCAATCAAAAAAGAACTTTCACTATGATGTTTATCTCATTTGTAACGCTTGTCGAATTAAATGTGCATTTAGAACAATCAAGTCTGCGCCATGTGCGTAATTTATTCTTTATTAATCACTATTTAATAAATAAATTCTTCTACAATATAATCTTATCCACCTTTTAAAATTAAATTAAACAAAAGCATAACTACACCTTATTGTCCCAAACATTGTCACATAACACATTCTGTAAAATCTGCGTCTAATAAATCCAAATGGCATTACACGGTACCGGAAATTAAAAAATCCAGCACGTAAACCATATAAGCGGCCACCAAATCTTATTCTCCGGAATACAAGAGATGAGTCTACTTCATTTGTAGAATCAGCGTTTACATCACTTGTTTCAATAGAATCGGCAGAAGTAGCTTTAGTGTTAGTGGAAATGGGTACCAATTGGTGGATATATACTTGTTTAGGAAGATCGTCATATTTGATTCTTTCTACTGTGTATTTAATGTCGGCAACGGTCGTTTCTGTTTGTGGCATATTGTCAGAATTTAAAAAGTTTTCATTATGGGCGGATTCCACTGAAAACGGAATGGCAGATGCAATAGAGCACGTGATTAGGAAAATAAAAATCAAGGATGTTGACGGAGGACAAGTTATAAGGCGAACCATTTTCATCGATATTAAATTCTACAAGAGATCTTTTGATGGGATTTTATAAGAAATTTTAATATTTTAAATATTTTGACGCTGGTTTAACTAAGTAGATGATGTCTGATTTATTTGTGATATATAACATTCAAACCAAACAGTCCGCCTTAATAATTTAAGTTCATCTATAAACGTTCGAGTTTATTATATTCAGGATGAACTGAAAGCGTAAGTGTTTTGTTGATGGAGTTAATTAATCTCAAAAATCAGACTTTATTTAGAGCATGTTATACTGGGTCCATAGGATGAGATTTATCTGATTGGCTAATGTAAATCAATTACCCGGGTACTTTTTGAGAACTAGGGTTGCGCCTCAACTAATAAATCAAAACATAATCAGGGTAACATATGAAGACCATTAATTTCGGATTTTTTATGGGCCTATATTTAAATAATAAACTAAATTTACATTTTTTGGCTCAAGTATCTAACGAAAGTGCATATAAATTTTTTTTTTAATTTGAAGCACTTGGCTAGCTCTACATGATAATAGAGCTATTTTTTAAACAATTTTATAAAAAAAAAAATTGTAACAATTAATTAAATAATTAATAATCAATTTTATATAATAATGGAATGATTTTGATAAACTATTTAAAAAAAGTAACTCTATTACCATGAGAGCTTCAAATTAAAAAAAAATTTTACGCCCTTTTGTTAGGTACTTGTGCTAAAAATATGAATTTAGTTTCATAATTGTTTTTATAATCATCTAGTATAAATCGTCGAAAAAATTGATTAAGAATTTACCCCGAAATTAATGATCTCCCTGACTATGTTTGATTTATTAGTTGAGGCGCAACCCTAACGGTTCACTAACAATATCGACGCAAAAACCATTTCTAGCTTACTACATAGTTATTACTAGAGATGAGAACCGAAACCCGAACTACAAGTTTAAGTTAGAGTTTAGGATATAGTTTAATGTTTATGGCTCTAACCTAAACTTATAGTTTCGGGTTTCGGTTCCCATCTCTAGTTATTACTATTATTAGCTATATCCAAGTACTGAATGCGAAAAAATAGTCAAATAAAAAGAACGATCAAGGTGTTTAAGGTAAATTTAGATTTGAAAAGACTCTTAAAATCTGTTAACTTATTGTATTTAAGTTTAAACTACTACTTTTAATGATCCTAATACTTATTTAAATTACTTTAGTATTAAGTAGGTTTAACAGTAGTATAGATAGAAACGTGTAGTATTAATTAATAATATGGACCAAAGATGGTGATGCAACGACTGTAATAACTGAAAAATAAGGATATTATTTAAAATTTTATATTAACAATTGAAATTTCTCGAAAGTTTTTCCTCGACAGGTACACAAGTAACAACTAAAGAAATGTATTAAGTAGGGTATCGCCTAGTTGATAATGTATTTTAGCGTCTCTAGCAAAGGAAATAATAATTAAAATATGGTTTCTACTCAATTATGCAATTAAATAAAATTAGCAAAGGATAATTAATGAAGGATAGTATATAAGTTACGCCTGTAATATGAATTCGTTCGATTAAATTATGTAATTTGATTGGCTAGTTATCACATAAAATAGCCAATCAGATGAATGTCTTCCTGTGATATGCTACCATATTAGCTGCGATATATGATTGGCCAATCTAATACAAACCTAGCATATTCACGACATCGTGATGATAATTATAAAATATAATAAATCCTTTTGGCATCGCTACATGATAGTTAATTATTTGTGCTACACGATAGTTAATTATTTGTTAAACATGACTGCATTAAAAGAAACAATTAAAAGTACAAGAGACACTTCAAATACATTATAAAAAGGTCTAAAAATATGGTCATTATTTTTGAACATACGTAACCCAAAATTACTAATAGTGTTTTAAGAAGTATACTTTTATAATTTGATTGGTGATTAATCTGTACATATTAATAATATGATTAAAGCTTCAAATCTATTATATGTAATATTGTTTAACTGACTAGTCTAACCTAAGACTCAGTGATAAAGTTTGTATTAGCTGCTATATAAAATACTAGTAGTTTTGATTTGTTATCAAGAATGTAACAAAAAAATTAACAGATAACAGATATATCAGCGAGCAGTGTTGTACGCGGACATTGTCCCATCAAAATTGCGCGGACACGGACAGTCCCGGACAGTGTCCCATGTCCCGGACAATGTTCCATGTCCGTGATGGTTGTTCCATGTCATATGGTTTATCGAACAACCTGATTGGCTAACACGGTTATTATTATTATAATATTAATTGTCCGGGACAAAAAAATATTGGCGGACATGTCCGCTGTCCGCGTCCGTGTTCCATGACAACACACTGTCAACGAGTATATGTAATAAATATTATTACAGTCGAAGGTATTTTAAAATTTGACCATTCTAGAATATTCAGTAAACATTTTGTCAAATTTATCAAATTTGATTGGTGCTTTATAGTTAATATTCATAACACTTTATAAATTTAACATTGTAAAAAAAAATTAAAAATAATTATCAAAACATATATTTTCAAGCTTGTAGTTTCAGAATCTGTGAGAATTTTTGCAACTTTAGATGATAAATATTCTTTAATTTAAGTTCAAATTTTTGGTTTATTACATACTATTTTTGTAGTTTATTTAATTCCTAATTTTTGATATTTTTATATTTCTGTATTTTTTTTTTTTTTTGCTTTTGCTAAGGCTGTAGTTATTGGCGGCTATTGCCTTTATTGTATTTTAATTATGATTACATAACTTGTACAAGGTGAGTATACAACTAGCCACACGTACAACTTTTGGTTGTCTAATTTAAGTAGTCCACCTGCACAGCAGGTTCTACACTAGTTGCCATACCTGCAATCTACTAGGAGATTACCTATTTTAAACACTCTGATCCTTATACTTATACTGATAAATAGCACACAAGTTCCTGTACACTTAAGTGCTATCTAACCTAACCATGATCTTCCTGTCTGTATATCCATCAAGCCATTATATATTTCAGAGTATGTCACCTGACTGTAAGGCTCCAGGAGGCTCCTCTGCTAACTAACTACCCATATTTAGTATCTTGTTAACAGGGCTTGCTCTTGCAGAGTTCACCCAGACCCCAGCACTGACTTTACAGCATATCCCTAGTACTTTAGTATACCTCTGTTTCTGACCTCAGACTCCCAATCCAGATAGCCTGGTAGAACTGTGACCTGTCCCTGGTACTCCAGAGTCTGCCCTCCAAGGTCCTTTTCCTCCGGTTCAAGTCTTTCAGCGGCCTAGTTGGTGGTACCTCTTACCTAAGGTTCTTGCCCGCCTGATTCCTTCCACATTGGTATCTGTTTCCTAGGTCTAGCCTTTACAGTAGTACTGTCGAAGATCTGTGTTACCTCTTTACTCAGGTCTTCCCAAGTGGGTTTTCAGTTATACCAGTTCACAGATTTACATAGCCACAGATGCCCCATGACCTGCCAGTTATCTGGTGCGACTGTGTTACAGGTACTGATCCCAACTGATTGATAGATAGCCGTTGCTATAATACCGGTTTCAAGGACTTATCTTGTGTTTGCACTGCCCAATGCTGGTTTGCATTCCTCTGTGTAACTCTAACATTGCACAGATGCCCGTATATACTGATGTAATATAGGTAGTTTTCTAAATTTTCGCTGTCAGTGGGTTTTGAACTCCCAACCTACTACTTGGAAGGTTGACAACTTATCTACTTCACTAAGTCGTCACACCCTATTTCTGTATTTTTGTATTTAAGTTTTCAGATATATATTATTTTTTTTTGCTTCTTACTTTATGTGTTTTATTTTTGTACTTACAAACCTCATGTTTATATTTAGAAATCTTTAATTAACTTGTTAATCTTAGATATAAATTTATAAATGCTTTAATAAATTAACAACTAAGTTTTTATTTATTTATTTTTGTTTATTTTTTTAACATTTTAATATTTTTTTTAATTTTAACTTTATTTTTTTTTATAATATCAAATAGTAACTTATATTTTATTAGCTTTTTATATTACTATTATATATAGTTACATTATATTTGTGCTACTAAATTACTTTTTGCTTTAAATAACCAATGTAACATTATATTTATAATTTCTTATATATATTTTGTAGCCTTTACTATGTATTACAACATTATTACTAAACTATCAATAAGGCTGTAGTTATTTTGTTATATACTAATTTTCTGTTATTTTCATTTTGATTATGATCTATTAGTTTACTATTTGCAGTAACTTTTTCTTTTTCTAAATTAGTTGATTTTTGTTTTTGTTATTATCAATTTGGTACACACAGTCTTATATGCTTTCTAGTATTTTATTGGCATAATTGAACTTATTAAAATTTAGATTACCAATTTGTAGTTTATTATATATCTTTTTGATTGTATTTTTATAGTTAATTTGGTTCAAAACTTGATTGTATATGCTTCTTGTAGGTTTTTCTATAAGTGTACTACTAATTACATACTAATATACTACTAGTTTAATATTACAAGAAGGCTTGAAACCTTGTCTTATTGTATACAAGTATAATTTTTATTATATAAGTTGTAATGTATAACAATTTTAAATATTATTTTTATAATATTTTTACTAATACCTATCTAAGATGTTTTAATTTTAAATAAATCATTATTTGTTACAGATTTTTTTGTATATATTATATTACTTACTATTTTAATTTTAGCTATTTCATATTATTTTCTAATTAAGTGCTTTGCAATTTGGATATAAAGATGTTGGTACTGTTTTATTTCTTAAGAACTTACTTATGCAATACTGCTATGTAGCTAAATCTTCTGTAACATTATTGTTATATGTAGTCTTTTCTTTTTGCA